TCGCCAGACTCCATATTCTCAGGTTTTTGCTTTCTTAAATCTTAAATCTTGACAAGTCTTGTCTTAGTTCTACTTGGTGATGATCATAGAAATTGGATTATGATGATATTACAAAACTAATGAGATTTTTTTGAAATTGCATATATAGTTATACTCCTGGATCATTGGCTCATGTCAATTTGAGTGATTATGATGTTCCAAAGATGACATCGATCATCTTAGTTGGTCCGAAAGGAGCCGGGAAGAGTAGTCTTGTTAATAAGATTACAAAGGTGATCGAAGACGACGAGTTTGCTCCTCCTCGAGCTCAAGAATCATGTACACTATATATATATGCATACTTGAATATTTTTCTTTAGTTTAGTTTCTGTTTTTAAAGGAGAGATTGATGAATTTGTGCTCTAAATTTGTAGATGGCTCACACTCTGAAGGAGGGACTTTCTTTGTTGAGGAGTATATAATCCCAAGAGGAGGTTCTGCTTCTTTTTGCTTATACGACACGCGTGGTTTGAACCAAAACTCGTCATCTGATAACACTCGTATAATTCAGCAGTGGTTTACCAGAGGTGTTTGTCATGGCGAACCTGTGATCTGGTTACTATCCTTCTTCTTCTTTGTTGGCTTTAATAAGTTTTGTGTTCACATGCTGAGTTTTGTATTTTTTGGTCAGGAATTCCGATAGCTCGGAGTTAAGGGATAGACTGATCCGAGAGAGTGGTACAGGTTGTGAGATAAGGAAAGTGAATTCCGTTATCTTTGTTGTTAACGCGGTCGAAATCTTGAAATCGATGGAGAGTGAAACGAGCTATGCTCATATGATCTCCACGGCTTTTAACTGTCCTTTACTTTCGTTTAAAGGTCAGTTAGTCCGTTTTTCTAAACTGCAAGTTTCAAAGTAGCTCTGTTTTTTTTTTTTTAATCTCAAAGTACTTGAATTTGTTTTTCAGATGACAAGCCAGCAGTAGTTATGACTCACGGAGATATACTTTCGCGGGAGGAACGTGTCCGAGTCCGTGTTTTCCTTGGAGAACTTCTCGGTATCCCACCTGACAAACAGATATTCGACATTCCAGGTCACAAATATATTAGATCATGTGGTGTTTCAAATGATTATTATATGCACTTGGTTATTGAAACGAATGCATGTGTTTGTTTTACAGAAAGCCGAGACACAGCCACGGCACTTACAATCTGTGATTTGCTACGCTATAGTCTTGAACACGCTGACAAGAATCTCCCTTTTCTTCCCAAAAGGAACTTCGCCATAGCTAAGGTTTCTGCTCCATCTTTAGTTCATACCTCTTTGATGTCAAAACATGATCGGTTTGATGGCTGGTTTAGATGTTGAATCATGAGTTTTGGGTTAGACACAGTTATGCTGATATTTCGTAGTGAACCAGTTCAATCCTATCCGGTGTGATAGTTACCGATGTAATCCTTGGGAATGATATAATTTTCAGATGGTGGGAGGCGTCATAAGGAGGAGGACCATGTTAAAATTCATGATATTTTTGGCTCTACCTTTACTCCTAGCCTTTTCATTGAACTGCATTCATACTCACGGCCGATCCCAAAACGTAGCGCATGAGGCTCAGCATAAGCCTCATATATTCCGACCACCTTCACGGTCATACAACCTCACGCGTAAGGACCAGCCCAAGCCTAATAGGCGCAGGGCTAGGAGGCACACACGTACGTTGCGCAGTGTAGGCCCAAACCATGGCCATGTGCCTAATCGTGAGACTGAGTCTGTGCTTGAAGGTGAGCCTAGCATTGATTCGCATATAGCTCGACGGTTGTGGTATGACGAGGGGAAAGTGGCCAAGGCCAAACCTAGCTTTGATTGGCGAACCACTCGACGCTTGTGGTACGTTGAATGAAAGTGTCAACATCTTATATGTAAAAAGAAAGAAAGTTAGATGGTGTGGAAACTATAATATGTTTTCTCAAGTCTTTTACCACTTCAAAAATAAAAAGTATCCGTGTATAAATGGTATTAATAAAATCAGGGTAACTAAATTCGATAGATAAAGTTTATTATATCTGTGCTTTTTTTTTTATCATAACGTTTATTATATCTGTGCTTTTTTTTTTTTATCATATAGGAGACACTAGGTAGAAAATCATAGGTGTTCAAATAAAGACTATTCAAAATTCTTAATGATTAATATATAGAAACAACAAATTTGTGGTAATTAATATGGAAGATTTTATTTAAAATATATAGAAAATATTTGAGAATATATTATTTTCTTTTCAATAACTAT